ATTAAAAATGGATACTGTTATATTCTGACTATGTAATTTGAATCTACCAAATTTGTAGTAACTACCCCAATGAAGACAAAAATAGCTACAGCAGTTGCAAAACTACTAGTGGAAGAATTTATTTTAAAATTAGGACATATCAAAGTACTAAAATCTGACATAAGGACTGAATTCATAAATGAACTTATAGAAAAGATACGTACAAGTTTATAAATAAAATAGTACAGTATCATCATGAAACTTTTGGTCCAACAAAAAGAAGTATTAGAATTTTAAAAGAATGTCTTCTAAATCTTTGCAACGATTACAATTCTGACAACTGGATACCATATTTCACATTCGCTTGAAATATGGGCGCGGGTGAATTTCTATTAACCAACTTTCAGGCAGTTCAATTAAGAAATTTATTAACTTAGATCTGAGGAGGCTGATATTTCTAAAAATGGCTTTATAGCATCGTGTTTTAATTCATAATGGCTGCCAGCAAAACGTGGAAAAATCTAATAAAAGTTATACTAATGATTTTAATAAAGGTTATTTTTCTAATTTCTTTTTTACTTCAAAATTTAATTACGGCGAAACGCAACGTCACACATGGTTAGTGTGCTTTAAATATCAAAATAAAGTATATTGCTCTTCTTTGACTTTTTTCGCACATGACTGGAAAGATTTGACAGGACAGAGTTATGCTAATGGTGCCATTATTGTCGGCATTTCTTTTCCTAAATAGTAATCCAGTATTATTTTTTATGACAGTTGGAATACGCTTTTGATTATTCTACAACAGCGAAAACGTTTTTCGGGTTTATCAATAAAATCGATGTGCTCTTTTTAAAGTCGAGCAAGAGTCAGGTACTTTTAGGAACTAAATTAAAATTGAATTTAAATCTCTCTCTGAAACAAGATGGGAGAGTAGAATCGAAGCAATAAACGATAATTTTGCAATTTCATCGTGTTATTGAATGCGTGAATGACCTGAGAAACAAAACTGATGATTAAGAACTTCTAAGTAATTGTGAAACAGTCCTTGTAGAAATGCAAACTTATGAGTTTATTGTTCAAATACTCGTGTGGTACGAATTTTTACTATGAGTAAAATGTATAAATAAACTATGGCAATTGACTTAAGTAAGCTTAAAAATGGCTATTGACAATCCGCGCTCATTTCGTAATTTGGTAAAAGACTATAAAATCCGTTGAAATACGATATAAAATGAACCGTTTTACCACAATCATAGATGCTGTCATAATTGTTGATTCAAAACACTTAATGAATATATTGAACAATTTGGTTTCATATATGACATTTATCATATGAAAGGTATACGAAACGAAGACCTTTTCGAAATGTATAAAGAACTGCTGCTTTTAAAATCGAACTCACTCGACTTGATATATAAAGAAAGTTGTCCGGTATATTAAAGAAAACATTTTAGAGGAAGTATATTCGAATATTTATATTCAGAATCATTCTCACAGTTCCACTCAGTACAGCTTTTACTGAAAGAAGTTTCTCAAAGTTAAAATGGATTAAGTCCTACTTGAGAAATAAGTTGAGAGTAGAGATACTATATGCATTGCCAATCCACCAAGTAAAACGAAAATAGCAGCTGGTGCAAATTATGATATAATTTTTTAAGTGATGTGGTTTAAAGTAGAAAAATTCATTTATTATAATTTGTGTTTATTTTAATGTGATTAGCAATAAAACTTTCATACATGCTTCGTCGTATTAGTGAATCGAAATTATTTACTTTTATAACTCAGTAATAAAAGAAGCTACACAATTCTGATGTCACCGATATCTAGAGTTGGTATAGGTTCGGAAATGAAGATCTTCTTCTTTATTCTATTACGTTCCCAGGGGAACATTGGGCCATAACAAACTTTTTCCAAATGTCACGATTTTTTGGCAGGGTTTTAATTTCTCAAAAGGTTTTTCTGCTTGCTTGGATTTCTTTCTCCAGACTTGGAGAAGCCTACCAGGTCTTCTGCTTCCTTTAGGACTACACGTTAACATTTTTTTGCAGATTTCGATTGGTGACTTCCTCAATGTGTGCCCGATCCATTGCCATTTACGCTTTATCATTTGATTTGCGATAGGAAGTTGGCGGCATGTTGATGAGCATGCTGAAGCTGTTTACGTTGTCGATTTCTATATTGTGCAGGTATTTGCCGGTAGGGTCAGAATTGTTTATCTTGTTCACTGTAAGAGCAACTTTTCGCGATTCGTGAACTAAGTTTTTGAGTTTACCTTGCATATCATTCTGTCGCCTTGAAAAGCCAAATGTCGTCAGCATGTTCTATACCCTCGAGGTGGTTTGAAAGCCAATAGCTTTGTTAAGGATGTCATCTAACACAATAAAAAATAGAATAGGCTACATCAGGCAGCCTTGTCGAACACCTGAAGAAGTGGCAAAGGGGGTTGACGGTTGCCCATTAAGGAGAACTCTGCAACTGAAGTTGTTGTATTGTGCTTTGATGAGGTCAACAACTTTCCCGGAAATACCCCTTTGTAAGAGAGACTTCCAAATGCAGCTTCTATTGACACTGTCGAAACCGCAGCTGTAGTCGACGATTAATAAGTTTATGGCTGCAGATTGTTAGACGATGACCCTGAGGGTGTTAATTTGGTCCATACACAAACGATTTAGTCTAAAGCCGGCTTTTGTCTGCGAATACTGTCTGCGAGTTTAATGTTGATGCGGGAAAGAAGAATACGAGTTAATATTTTCGAAGGAATCGACAGCAACCTAATGCCTCTATAATTTCTGCATTTTCTCAGATCACCTTTCTTTGAAAATAGGCAGCAAGCCCTCCAGCCAATCGTTTGGAAGACGATTGTTTTCCTATATGCTTTTCAGAGAAGGTTGAATCATTTTAGCGGTAGTCGAAGTACAAGCTTTTAAGAGTTCCACAGTGATATTATTTGGACCAGCCTTATTCTTCTTGAATCTGCTAATAGCTTGAACAATTTCTTCTTCATTAGGTACTCTATTTATAGCAGAGGTACTGCGATTGACTCTGACATCCACGGCTTCCTGTTGCTGTGGCGACGACCCAAGACATATTCTGCGTTTGTAAGAATTGCTGATTTAATGAAGATAATACACACAAACGGTGTCAATTTTATACACAAGTATAAAAGCAAAAGTAATAATCAAGGATAACATAAAGTAATACAAACAGAATAGTATTGAAATTTAACAATTAAAATGATATATAATTAATTAATTCAATTATATATCTATAATATTTTGTATGAAATATCAAAAACAATTACTATATATGGAAAATGTACTTAATATTTTAAAAATATTCCGCAGGCCAGTGGGAGTAATTCATGCTTTTTATATTTATAACGCAAAAATAATAGTTATTAGTACGTTTTAAATTAAGAGGCCGAATTTTAAGAGTTATTTCTGCACGAAAAAATAAAACGCACATAAAATAATTATTTTTAATGAATATAATATAGAGTAAGAAATGCTTATAGAGCAAAAGCATGCATAATCTGTTATCAAAATTTTTTATGTAAAATTAACATTTTACCGCTCCATATTTTCTATAGATGAAATTATACCTTAACAAAAAATATTTCTATGCCAAATACCATGGTGCGGTATCAATTCTTTACACAGTCAGTGCTCCTAATGGAGCAGCACAAAGAAGTGTGCAAGGGTCAGTACTTTAGTTCTGGCTGCACTGAATCTAGCTACCTACGCAGATGATACTGTAATCACCGTAACAAGTGGAAAATTATCAGGCGCCTCTTACAGTATTTTGTAAAATACCTTAGTGTTCATCTTGATAGCAGACTGACTTGGAATATTCACATTAAAGCTAAATGCAAGTATGATTAGTATCAAAACTATTCCCACCTTGTCCTTGTCCAAAAAACGAAATCAAACCCTTCAAAGTGATGCTTAAACTAATTTAGATCTATACATTTCAGTTGTATGCTGCAGTCAGCGTCTCCAACATTGAAATATTACACCGATCCTAGTCAATCACTCTGCGAATGATTACAGATGTGCGTCGGTATGTAACAAATATACATTACCACAAAGGCTTAGAGATTCATAAAAAAAGAGGTGAAATAAAAAGATTAAACTGTATATGTTATATACATCTTGCAGTTGATAGACAATTTTTTGTTTTCTGTATTAAATGACATTGAAACCAAAAGAAGACTAAAAAGAATTCACATTCTAGATCTATCTTATCTAACTAAAGGAAAGCAGTGTTTGAGAATTTTTACTAATTTCATTTTCGTGTTAAGATTGCCAAGAAAATTGAAGTTAATTTGCTGAGTTCAATCATATTTCATAAATATGATATGTCAAAAGAAAGATAAGTATGAGATACATTAAGCAGTACAGGTGGCGAACACCTCTCGGATAATCACAGAAAATACGAACACTATAATGTTAGAACAAAAAGCATACAGCAGTAGTAAGTATGATGAAAAACATCGGTCCATAATTGAAAAGGAAGGCAACACAAGTAGCAGTAATGAATATCAATCTGCTAAAGTAAAGCAAGAAAATATTTCAAAATGATTCTCTACACAATCTCCGATTTCTTTGTGGTTAGTTGATAAACATACAGTCGATACAATTGTAAAGTTAATATATATGCAACGTTGATGTAGATAAATGCTGCAGCAAACATGATTTCTTGAAATTAATCTCTTTTATAGCAACTTTATTTAGATACATCAAAGTATTTAAAGTATTTGATTAAAGTATTTGATTTCTTGAAATTAATCTCTTTTATAGCAACTTTATTTAGATACATCAAAGTATTTAAATAATTTTCACTATATGGGTAATTGAGGTACACAATGACTTGATACTGCTATGGAAAAACAAGTAGACAGTTTAGTTCTTATGCATTTTTAAATGTATGTGTACTAAAAGTCAAAATTACGGAATTAGAGTTTAATAAATATATAATAAATGACGTAAAATAATATTTATAATCATAAACTAACTTACTCAGTTTTGTCAACATCAAATGGTGGTCGAGTATTTATGTTATCACTGGTTTTTAAACACGATAATCCACTTAAATTATTATTAGAACCTTCAAAACAATCGTTATTTCTCCTTATTGTGCCATTTCTACCAATTCTTTCTCCATAAACACCATCAAATGAGCACTTATTATAAAAATGTTCTACTGGTCGATACCCCGATGATGTTTGAAGGAACATTTTACTTAAATGAGCTGGTATATCATCAGTGGGGGACACGATTGGTGTAAAGGGATTGTAGATATCTTCCTTTTCCGAGGAAACTATATCATCAGAAAGTTCTTTCATTATAGAAGATAAGCCTCCAGCTGTGTATATTTTACCTAGAAAAATTAAAAAATTATACAATAAAGATATTTTCTAGGCTATTATGTATTAATACCAATGTAACAAATGAAGAAATACATTTTACAAAAATAAGTCTAATTCAAAGCCAGCTTACATGTCACTGCTGATATTTGTGATAACAAGTTCTGAATTAGTCTTTTAAATACGATTTCGATCTTTATGATAATATATTTATTAGCGATTTATATTTAAGATTAACAAATTATAAATATTAACGCTACATTCTCTTTCATTTAGTTTGCTAATACCTGTAAAAGCTTCTAAACATTTTATTTAATTCTACGATTATTATAACCTACTAACAGAATAGGCTGTTTAATATTTAGCCTTCAAACTTTAATTGTGAAGGTGCTCTCTACTTAGTTAAAAAAATATAAAAAAAAAATCCTCTTAATGTAAGATATAAGATGTTAATAAGATAAAAGTATAGTAACAATAAAAAGCGTTTGTCAGAGTTAGTTAGAGTTAGAGTTAGTGAAATAAAAGTTGTTCAAAAGATTGAATATAATCCTATGGTGACTGATTAATATACGGCATTGTTATTGTAATACATTAGGTACTGAATAATCTTGCAAATGGGAGCTGGACAAAAATTATTTTATCAAAACCATCCTCGCATCCATCAGATTTGCAACAAATATTTGGCACAAAACAACATAAATAATAAGTCTGATGAATTCAGTAAATTTAGTTGAAAAATTAAGGTTCTTTACCTTTTCTTTTTAAGAATGTAAGAATTCTATAACACTAAGCTTCTTTTATATGTTTTAAATATATCCCACTTACTTAGTAATCGCCCACGTCTGCTTCGCTGTGATTCTGATTTTCGATTAATCTTGCGCTCATCGATATTTTTATCGATTTCCAGTTCACCTGATAAAGAGGCGTCATTCATTTCTGAACACTGTTTAAGATATCGCATTAACGTTTCGTTTGCTTGACGCACTTCTATTTCCCCGGCAGCTATTAATTTTCTCTCTCTGCGTCGTCTTGATTCTGATTTACTTCGTTTTCTTCTTGGACTTTTGTCAAAATTGTTGCGGCAGCGTAATGAGCGTTGTGCTGGACTTGCTTGTGGATCCGAAAAGGACTGTAATTTTCGAGTTGCTCCTCCACTGTCCAATATACTATGTGCTGAAGTTGTTAAAAGCTGTTGCTTCTGTTCACGACTCACAAATCCTATAATACCTTCTTGAATAGACGAACTAGTATCTGCCGTACGATTTGATTGTGTTTTTGGTGAATAATGACGTCGGTGTCGGTGCACCGTTACATTTGAAGGCAGTTGTTGCAAAGTTTTACGTAGGCTTTGTGATTCACTCAAAGAATTACGCCCACTACTTCTAACAGTTTGTTGCGTAAGACATAAAGTTTCATCATTTTCTTTATTAGGTGAGGCTGATATTGGTTCCAAATTTTCCGCTGCTTTAATGTTGGATATGGTTAGAGGCTGTAATTCTGGGTCTGTTGGTGACTTATGTTCATTTACCAGTACGACAATGGAGCTTGGTTTTGCATCATTTGCGGAAATAAGACACTTTTTATGCACTGAACTATGGTCCTCAATTTTTTCCGATTGGGATTTATGTTCAACATTCACAGCAGCACTATACCATTCAATTGGTGGAGTATTCACATTATTTTGAATATTGCTATCTATTTCGTCTGTAGAACATTGATGAAGCTGAGGATTCAGTTTTGACCTGTTTTCCATTGCTGATACTTGCAGAATAGTTAATTCGTTATTTCCAAGTAATGATATCACATAGCTTCATACAAATAATTTAGAAATCGAACATTGCTTTCGAAAAATTTTTTATTTAATCGAAGTGAAAAAGTTGACTGTTGTAACTTATGATACGATAAGTACAATTGTTTATTTTATTTAGTTTTCAAACAAAATTTATTTTATCAAATAACATTTCTCAATTTTAAACAAATGGATGTTGCTAATTGTTTGGTATTAATATTTTAATATAAGTTGCATTTTTTTTGTAACTTCAAGGTATATTAAATTTATTCAATATATAAAATTCTATTTTAACCATATTTCCTTAAAATACATCTACGCTCTTACGCGGCTCTTATGCGACAGACTATAGGTTTTGTAAGTTCATTTGTGAGCAAGTTTAATTTGTCTTACATAAACCAGAAGAAATACACTTAAAAAATCGAAGCTTTTGAGTGACGTCATTAGAACACAGTTATCAAGTACAACGATATCCTTTTTATTTATTGATTTTGTTTCTTGCTTTCCAGTAGTTTGCCTTTGCAAGGAAATTAAAATAAAGCATGTGTTTTAAGTACAAAATTTAATTGAAAGTATATATTAATTAAGTACATATTTTATTTAAAAACTTCAGATAAAATTTTGCAAAATTTTGTATTTATATTTTAATTTCTTTGAACAATGTTTGGAATTGTGTTATTACTTCAAGCTTTTTTGGTTGGTTTTTACAATAGAAACTTTATTGATGGAGCACTTGCACCCTACACTTTTACTCTATACTACAAGGCTGTAACTTTGGAGAGTATGGGATTTAGATTATCATTGCGCAGATGCGATAAGTTTTCTTAATGACGTCAATGGAAAAAGCTTTAAAAAAGGACTAAATATTTATGTCGACATAAAGTAAAAGAAGCATTAAATGCCGGCTAAAAGGCAAAGGTTATATTAATACTAAAACTCATATATATTCCCAATAATATTCACATTGCTATAATATCTACTTCATAAATATATAAGTTATTTTCAAGTCATTTAATATGTTCTAACACAGATACATAATACTCTTTTAATTGGTACAGATTTTTATTTTTTGTGAGTTGAACTGTAAACCAACACCATATTTCATTGATACAACCATACAAAAGATTTACCAATCCAACGTTGGTTAAGTCAATACATAACCATTTACGAATTGTTCTTTTTTGTATATTGTTAATTGATTTTGGCTCACTGTTTCACTATAGTTGAGTGCAGTCAAAATATATGCAGCTCCAAACAGTTTAATAAAAATTCAATCAAAAGTTAATAATTTAAGTTAGTTCTAAAAACGCTTTTACAATTTATTTGCATTTCTCAATTATCAACTCAACTAATATGAATACTAAAACCCATTAAATATGGCTTTACTTAAACAATCCTATGTGACAGTCTCGACTCTATAGTTAAAGGTCTAGTCTAATTCTTTGATGTTAAGTTATAGAGAAACATATTTTGAAAACACAAATTACTGATTTAATATTATGGAAATTTTATGTTACCTTATATAATGCGTTTAATAAAAAAAATCTCTAACACTGCAATTAATACTTTAACAGTAATCATTAAAAAAAAAATCACCTTATAATTGTTATGATTTACCTTTTAAAATAACTCACAATATAGTAATTAAATTTGCTTAATATTATATTTATCAAAAATAATTATTATCATGTGCCTTTTATTTTTTCACACACAAATAACTCTGTTTTTTATTTTAAAACGCACAAATAACTGTTTTTACCTTATAAATATAAAAATCAAGAACAACTTTTATTTTTGAAAACAAAATATAACTCATATAGGCCTGCCGCATATTTTTAAAAACGAAAACATAAAATGCATATGGCGGTAGTTGTTTTTGTAATTTCATTCAAAAATTATTTTAGGGATATTTTATTTTCAAACGTTCATATATAAAGAGCATGCATGATATTAAGGATGAAAGTTGTTAGAATGATAACAATATACTTAACTATGAGTTTAATAACTGCTATTTTCAGTCCCGGAGCATACAAGTTATCAAGTCTCGTCTCCTAAAACACATTACATTAACTATTGTATCTATCATTGTCTGTTCTAAGTAGACAACGAAATATTATCTATTGTATTAAACTGAAACACATTACATCAACTATTGTATCTATCATTGTCTGTCCATAGCATCAACGAAATATTATCTATTGAGCCTAGGTATATTATCTATTGTATTAAACAGATAATTGAAAATAACTACCCATTATAACTAAAAATATTATCATCGTTGTTCGGCGTGCCTAGCTGTTGGACTTGGAACATTTGCTGACCTTGCGTGACTAGCTGTTGATTACATACTTCTGTAGTTTTTCTGTCAGTCCTTGAATCTTGCAGCGGGGTTATGAGGCATTTACATAACACTTGCTCTTGTGAGTTTTCGTGCAGTGGTACTGAGTGTTGTTCTAGATCACTTCGACGTTGTGTGGTTTGTGTTAACGTGCTTAGCTTAAGTAGTGTTGCTGTTACTGGATTTACAATTTTAGCTATTACTCCAGTTGCTCGGTTGGTTTTGTTGCTGATTACTTCGCTGCTGGTTGAGTATAAGTGACTCGAAATTTGAACAGTGAATAAGTTTATTCTGTATCGGCGTAGAAGGTACGCGTCTCACTGTATTCTCCAATAGTATCGTTTGTGGATGTTAATTATGTTAAGCTCGAAAAGTCTCGACGTTGAAATACCTAGTTGAAAGGAAAAATTATAGAAACTCCGTCTTGAAGCTTGACCAGATGTTTCAATGCAGATCAGTGCTTTGTCTTCAAGCAGTATGGGCATCATCCTGGGAACTAGATTCACGCTGTGGTCGTCGAAGCCTGCTAACTCTTCTATGCTTTCCACAAAATAGAAGAGACAGATCTAAATTCTCCATTGCACCTTACAGACCATTTCCGTATCCGCTCCACGGTTTGAGCATACGATGAATCCATGATGTGCTGCTAATGCGAACGTCTTGTATGTTTCTCTGTGGAACAAACTTAAATTGAACTACGAATGATAATATCTGGATTTTATCCTTTGATCATGTTAGACTGTGTCATTGTAACGTGGGCATTACTTTGATTTAACTTTGCGATGTCTGCCTGTCCCTGCTCGGCCGCCAATTGTAATTGCTCGGGTAACCTAAATAATAATATAGTAATAGTAAAATTAGACAAAAGTCAACAAAACTGTTGCCATAACAAAAGCAGATTATGATTCAAAAATGAACAACAAGTTAAATGATATAATGTCTTATAGAGTTTTAAGAAAAGACCCTACAACGTCATTACAAACTAAAAATATAACTTTAGTAACTAAATTATATGATGACCACATTATTGATAAAAAGGAGAAATAAAATTTAATAGCGACTACTGCTTATCCTTTTAGAATATATGGCTTACCAAAGGTCCAAAGATCATATAAATTATGTCAATATATGGCATCCATTCTCAAGAATTTAACAAAAAACACTAACTATAATATAAAGAAAGCAATAGAATTGAAAAATAAAATTAACAATATTCTTTCTTATCTTGATATCAAATTGTTAAGACACAATAATTACATCTTTACCAAATGGTATCAAAAACCAACTGCATCAGGAAGAATCATCAATTTTTATTCAAACCATCCATACCATATAGTGCAAAATATAGTTAAAAATATGATAAAAGGAGCTCTACATCTAACCGATCCAATGTTCCATAATGATTTACAGAAAGAACTTCGAAGAATTCTAAACATAAATGATTTCCCCTCTTCCAATGTGGAAAAGATTATCACAAATATCAACGTCTTTCAGAATGACACTAGGAATAAGGATAAAAAAAATATATAAAAGCATTATACATATTCCTAAACTCTCTAACCAAATATTGACATCTAATATTCATCACTAATCAAATTATAATATCACACAAAGATCTGGAAATACAATGAACGCACTGTATTCATACTTAAAAACAAAAATAAATAACTTGGACAAATTAAACGTAGTATACCAAATTAACTGCAAAGGTGATGGGTACGACGTATGTGATCGAGTATATGTTGGGATGACCAAAAATAAATTAAAAACAAGAATGGCTGTAAATTAACACAGCATATAAAATAAGGTCGGGGTGGAAGCTAAAACAGCCCTTGCTTGACATTGTATTTCCACACCATGAGCCAGATTTAGAAAATGTGAAAATTCCACATCAAGAAAATAATCATCGTAAACGATATGTGGGTTTTTGTCACATACTTTATTTTTAATACAAATAACAAATGTTTATAATTTACAAAACAAGACGATGAAAAAACGTTGTGTTATAACAACGCGCAAAAAGGAAGAAGTTAACCAGTCGCCAGCCACTAAAGTTAGCTGCTGGTTGAAAATGGTTCTTTTGGCCACAGATGGAGCGAGTGCGTGTGCACTCACACACAGAGGGCGCTGCAGTGTGTGTGGCGAGTTCGCCACAGTACTTCCCCCTTAATAGCTGGGCCGGTGGTCTGGTTTGTTAATTGTTGATTGTAACCCGCCACTAATGTTTCAAACTGTTTATTGATAAGTTAACCTGCTTACCGCATACGTCAACCATAAAAAGTCTGTCGTTGATTTTTTTAATTACCTTATGTGATCCTGTGTATATTTCCTTACATGGTCTGCCCTTACGAATACATAAGACGCAATGTCCAATGCTTTGTGAACGAATATTGCTTTGCTAGAATGATTGGACGTCGGAATTGGTCGTACTTGCTGGGTGTGCTCGCGTAATGTTGCTAGAAATTTTTGTTCGTCTGGAGGCGTGTTACTTTCCACAAAAAATTCTCCCGGTAGACGTAATGTTGTTCCATATAGCACACTTCAGCTGCTGAAGTGTTGATATCTTCTTTATAAGAGGATCGAAGTCCTAGTAAAACTGATGGTAACAATTGTATCCATGCGTGTTGAGGTCGCGACATAAGTGCTGTTTTTAAGGTGCGATGAAATTGCTCAATTAACCCATTAGATTCTGGGTGATACGGAGATGTTCGTATTTTTACGTGCCTAAACGATTTGCTAGCGCCTTAAATTCGA